GGTGCCAGAACTGTACTGGGATTCGACATGCAAGCATTCAGACTTTGCTGAAGGAAGGAACTGAGGCCATGGATGAGTTGTGTTTACTGACAAGCGCTAGTGAAGAACCATACAATCAAAATACGAATAGGATTAAGAATTCAGAACTGTAAGACATAGTAAGCAATGTGCTATAAAATCTGTCTCAATATCAGGAAGGATCTTGAAATTAACACTATGAACCATTTAAAATATTTAGAAAATCAGTCTCAGGTAATCATGAAACTATTGCAAAGTGCCACTAACAGTAAAGTTGGACAGAACTCTGCATTTCAGAGGTGCTTCATTGCACAAGACGACGAACACAGAGGACATCCATACCATCTAGGAATAGCACACCTGAAATTTAACTTTATCTGGCTTAGAACCTCTTTCAAAGTAGCAAGCCTTGTTTTCCAGGGTTAATTAACGCTTTTCCTTCCATACAGAACATACATATGTTCTTGCTCCTTCCACGCCAACACAAATAGCAATGCAAATTATAAAAGCAATCGCCTCCGTAGCAATCGCACAGGTCAACATGACAGCAAAAGGTGTTTCACCAGAGGTGTAATGACAGTAGGATCGGCACAATAGAGAGGTGCTATGAAGGGAAGAAGATTGCTCACCATTATCAGAAGATTCCAGGTTTGCAGAGGAGAGCTTCACCAAGGAGGCATCTCCAGCCAGAGCCCCTTCCCCAGTGGCAGTCAGCCCTTCAATGAGGTCTAAGAGCTGCAGCCAGGCTCCGTCCCTTCTGGCCCCACAGCTGAACTGCTTCACCTGTGCTCCCAGGGCTGACCGGGTCCTTTCCACAGCTGCTCAATCCGTGCTTCAGGCTGTGACTCAGTTACCGTACAATGACTAATGGGATGTTTACTAACAAAAAAATGAACTGTGCCTCAAACGCTAAGCAAAGCTCAACCTGAAGAACATTTTGTAGATCAAGACCCCACCATCTTATCTCTCTTTTCCACAATTTGACTGAGGAACACAGCTGAACTGCCTTCACCTGCGCCTCCAGGTGCTCAATCAGCAGTGCAGGCCCTGACTTCACAGCTCCCATTCAACCTCTTTCCTCATTTTGTTTACAGCAGAAGCACTCCATGCCATTTGTTTGCTACCCACACAGTCCAGAAATCAGGGATTATCCCTGAATACCTGACAAGAACCTAACAGTAGGAACAACAGATTTTTTTTCATACTTTATCAGTTTGAAGGCCTTATTCTTTAAGGCCTTCTCTACCTGATAGCCAGTTATATAAGAAAAGAGTTAGATATCTAACTCAGATTAGCTCCTGTGGCTGGACAATTGGTGCCTAAATTCCTCCCTCTCCAACTCAGTTAATTCTTCACCAAACCAACCAGGAAGGTATTCCTCCTTCATGCAACTCATTCTTGGTAAACTACCCAAACAAAACAAAACAAAACAAACACATCAACCAGCAAAACAAAAATCATAACACATTAAAATCATTTTATTATACATTATGTTTCCAAACAGGTACTTTCTCCTCCCTTGCAGCCCTTTATTAGGTATGTTTGTACTGTCTTAAGTTTGAAGAGTTTACTATCCCCAAAGTATTTAAGTATAGAACCTTACTACAAACCTACTTGAGAATACCACAGTATTCAAAGGCAGCTGTTCAGCAATTAACATCTTATGTCTGCAAGCAGCACAAGACCCATGCAAAATACTCAAGTGCTTCAGTCAACCTACATTCAGCTATCAGGAAATTAAGTCTCAAGACCCACGAGCCTTGAACATGCAGCCAACTTGAGCTCTACCCCTCTGGAATCTCTTCAGACATGTTAGCCTATGCCTTACTACTAATAGAACCAAGGATTTTTTTTTAATTACTCTTTCACTACATTAATGAACACTCAAAAACAAGCGGTCAGAAAGTCACTGCTTAAGAACTTCTTCAGGACAGAACATCAGTTTTCAATTCCTTAAGGTCTGGCAATGGACAAAGCCCACTGAGGCTCACAGAACTGCCCAGAGCACAGCGTGGCTGTCCAGGGGACACAGCCTACGCCTTCTCTTCCAATAGGATACAATCCTGCTTACAGATTCTCCTGTAGGTTGCATTTCCGAACCCAGCTCGTCCTACAAAGCAGCCAATGAATGTACAAGCATACATTTTCAAACAGATCTACAGTACACAGATTAAGCTGCCCTACCCCCAACTCATGCAATCACACTCCTTAAAAAACAAAATGCCCCATACCCCAGCTTTTGGGAAGTTACATAATTCAAACCTGACCCAACTCCAACTGCAATCAGTAACAGAATTACCCTACTTGCTTCATTAGAACTGATCGATCCTAACACAAAAAGACAGCAGAAGAAATGTCTGGATAGACTGTGTGAAAGGAAAATCAGCAGTGGTTGACCAGAACAGATCGCAGGCCTCATCTCTGCAATGCTGCCAGGGGTCTCCACACTACCATCAGACAACTGAAAAGAAATAGAAAGTGGCAAATTGGCAGTAAAAAGAGAAATAAAACACTACAAATAGAGATCAGACTGGCACACTGTTTAGCACTATCAATATTTATACAGAAAACAGCACACTCCTAACCAAGCAGCACCACCATCATCACTAAGGGCAAAGGCAACACACAACAGTTCCTAAAAAGCAACCAACCATACAACATTCAAAGGAGAACGTAATTTCCCTTAAGAAAGAACTATTTCCTACAACACAGGGAACTATAAGTGGAAAATACGGAACATTGGGATAGCAGAAAGAAATTAAAGGGGGGGGGGAAGGGAGGGTGCCAAGACAGAATGATAATACAAGGCATTAGAATTACTTTGCATTATACAAAGACCAGCAGGGCCTGGGAGAGAAGTATGGATAAACATGCCTAAAAACAGGAGCTGAAAAACAACCCAGAGGTTGTGATGGTCCCACGTCCAGCTACACTGAGAAAAACAAGAAAGGCAGCACAAGCACCGTGCAGGCAAGGCAGCATGCGTGCCACTGCTTTGTGACTAAACCACACACCTTCCCCCACACTGCATCAAAACAAAGGGCTGTACCGACAGGTAACTGCCACCTAGCAATGCAGACTTTATCTACAGCACCTCCAAAGTGTCAGATGAAAGCAAATGCTACCAACAGCAGTAATATTAGCAGATATTCACTTGCACTACTCTTTTCAGAGTAACGCTATCATATGTTTGTTTATTAACACCAAAACAACCGATAAAGGAACACAGCTATGTGAGACTGTTTTCCCCAAAGAACATCTCAGTATGATCTAGGACAAATTAACATCACTTTCAGTCAGAAGAGTTTGCCCTCTTATTAAACAAAACAGCTTATCTCTGGAACAGTCTAAAGATGCACAACTCCGATTCAAAAACAAGAGCAAACATTCACGTAAAAGAGGCACGAGGTGTATAAGGAGCCCTTATACTTTGAAAGTCCACTTTCCAAATCTTAACCCATGCAGTCTGTCTGCGTGTCAAAGAACGGACAAATTCAGCTCCTTTCTGCTGCTCACAGCCTTTTTATTCCATAAATGAACTTACTGATCTCATCAGGTTACAACGATGCTAATTCAAAACTCCTGTCTGCAAAGAGGCTATCAGGATTGGGAAGGTTTACCTTTCACCCTCACTCATCGGCCAGGACACTGCCAACAAAAGTATGGAAGAACTCCGCTTCAATTACAGCACCTTTTGGAAAAAAAAAGGTCAGATCAAAAGTCACAGGGACTTGAGAAAAGAAAGGGAAGAGAACATCCTTCTATTAAAAAAAAAAAAAAAAAAAATAGGGAACCTGAAGGTTATCCCGTGCACCAGGGCCAGGAAAGCTGAATGCCCTCACAACCAGACTTTCCTTCCTGTTGTCAGGTCACAGGAATTTAAGTATGTTCCTCTCCTCTTCTCAGGCAGAAGTGAGGGCTCACTGCAAGCTGCCTGCGAGGAACAAAGCCTTCTGCCTCCATTCAGCTCTCGGGTATCCACTGAAATGCACTGTTTGAACACCGAGTATGAGCAGGAAAAAAGAAAAGTTTGGTGGTAGAAAGGGAGTGTGCAAATAAACAGAGGAAAAACAGTTTACAGAAAGGGGAGGAAGAGCATATAAAAGACCGAGATTTAAGCTACTGCACAGAATCAGAGCAGAAAAAAAAAATCTTCAATCTGTCATTTTAAACGCTAGGTGAAAGGAGCACTACACAGTGAGAAGCACGTTCTGTTTTGCTTAAGCTGCCGAGTCCCAAATGCCCCTTCGGGTCCTGCACGTGAAACGCCCTTCCGAAGCACTTTCACTTCACTCCGTATTTTTCCGCTCAGACTTCAAGCCTTCAAAACCGAACGCACCACGAAGCACCCGAAAGCGCCGCGGAACAAGCAGCCGTCCCACCATCCCAGCTTCCAAACCAACGCCTACCGGTAAAACAACCACGGTTTGCCTCGGGGCTTCTGAGGAGGAACACAGAAGGCTCCAAGAAGGATCCGAGCACCGCGCCGCCTTCCAGCCGCCGAGCTGAGGCCGTTCCTCGCTAGCGGAACTACCGCAGCGCCGCCGCGTCCTCCGCGAAGCGCCGCGCGGCGTCACCGAGCCCAGCAACGGGGCCGCACGACACGGCGGCCCGCGCCCGCCACTGAAACCCGAAGGCCGCAAAAAGCGCTGCCCCCGGCCTCCTGAAGTCCCGAGACCGCGCGGGCCGACGGCCCGGAGCACCGAGCGGAGGCCGCAGGACCGGCCGCGAGCGAGCGAGGGCGGAGCACGAGGAGCCGCGGGAGGCGGCCGGCGGGAGGCTGGGGGGTTCGGCGGGCAGCGCCCCGAGAGCGGCGCGGCGGCACTCGTGGTCCCGGGCCGCGAGATCCTGCGGGCCGCGAGCGACGCCGACTGAGAGCCCGGCCGGCCGCCCCCGGAAGGAGAGAAGGAACCGGGGAGAGGAGGGGAGCGGAGCGGCAGCGGGAGGACGGGCGGGGGAACGGGCGCAGCGGCCCCACTCACCGGGCCGGTCCCTGGAGCGGAGGCGGCAGCAGGAGCCAGGCATTCAAAATGGCGGCGGATCGGCCTCAGCACCGATACCGCAGGCGGAGGGATCCGCGCGCCGGACCGCTCCTCTCGACCTCCCGGCCTTTGCCGGCGTCGGTTCCGAAAAACGGTCAGGCAGCCCCAGCCGCGGGGGCGCCAAGCGAGCGCGAGACTAGCGGCGGCGAGGCAGAAAAGGCCCCGCGCACTATTTTTCCCGGCGGAAGCACACACGGCGTCGGCTCTCGAAGAGAAGCGCGAGCCCCGTGGCAGTCGCTGATGACGTCAGGCGCGGGGCGGTCCCGCGGAGCGCTGCCCCGTGGCGCGGCCCTGTGGGCGGTGCGGCGGAAAGGAGGCGGCGGCCCAGGGGCGGGGCTTCGGGCGGGCGCTGCCGCAGAGTGGAATGCTTGGAAGGTGCGAACTTTACGTACGGGCGGATCGTTCCGAGAGGACGGGACGCGGCGGGACCCGCGTCGGCCCTCCTTATGGTGGCGGTCACGTTAAGAGCACGCTCCGGCATTGCCGATGTACCGCGGGCAAATCGCTGTGCCGCCCGTTCTGCCAACAGGAGGGGCCGCGCGACAGCCGAACGTCCCGGGTCGTTTTTGTTTAACGGTTTCGGGGAGAAGGAAATAAAACGCAACGACTGCACAGCGCGCACCGGGGGCCGCCGGGAGCGGAGCGCTGCGGAGCCGGAGGGGCTCAGCGCACGGCAACGAGAGGGGGATGTCGGGGGACGCTGCGCTCGGCCCGGCTCTCCCCCACGCAGCCTCGGACCTTTTGTCGCCACAAAGATCAATGAACGCCACGAAACGAAGAACGGGAGCCGAGGCAGCACCGGAAGCGGCGCCCGCCGGAGCGCGGGGCGAGAAAGGGCCGGGGGGACAGCGACGAATCCCGGAACGGCGATCGGGGCGCGAACCACCCGGGGCCGCGCTCCCGGGACGGTGTTTCTCCTCCGAACCGGCGCCTCACCCGCCCCCGGGCCGCTCGGAGCCGGCCGCGCTCTCTCCCGGCGGCGGTCCGCCCCCGTTCTCTCGGTCGGCACCCTGTGCTCGCCTCCTGTCGCCGCGGCAACCGGCGCTACGGGCGCCCCTCGGCGTCACCGCCACTCCCTCCGGCAGCCCATGAAGCGCTTCCGGCGCGCGGGGCCGTGACGTCATCACTGCGCGCGGCGGCGCGGGGAGGGGCCGGGCCGGAGGCGGCCGCGGGCGGCGGTGGGGCCGATGGGGGTCGCGGAGGAGGAGCCGGGCGATGGCGGGTGAGCCGCGGGCCGCGGCGGGCGCCGGGCGGGCCTGCGGAGGTGGGGCGTGGCTGCGGCGCCTCGAGCGCGGCCGGGCGGGGCGGGGCGGGGCGCGGCTGGGCTCGGGCGCCCTCTGTTCCCGGGGCCGGAGCTCCGGAGCGGGGCGGGGTTCGGCCCGACCCGGCCGGGCCCGGCGGTTCTCGCTGTCTCGGCGCGAGGCTCGTTCCGTGCTGGCGGCTCGGTTCAGGATTCGGCGTCGGGTCCGGGGCTTACGGCTCCCTCTGTTCCCGGTGCAGGTGAGGCGGCGGCCGGCGGCGGGGATCCGGGAGCCGGCGTGCGGCAGCCCCTTCGGGTGCCCCCATGAACGAGCGTCGTGGCCGGGGCTGCCGGGACACCGTGGGGCACCATGAGAGCGGGCCACGAGCGGAGCCAGGAGTGCCTCCCGCCAAAGAAGCGGGACCTTCCCGCCGCCAGCGCCGGCCCGGAGGCGGGACGGGCGGGGGGTGCCCAGGCTTCGACTGAGGGCCCCGAGTGGGCTCGGACAGTCGGGTCGAGCGCTGTGGCCCTACGCTATGGCCCCGGGGAGGCGGCGGAGGCGGTAGCAGGGCTGACGGTGGACCAGTACGGGATGCTCTATAAAGTGGCAATGCCGCCTGCCACCTTCTCCCCCACGGGCCTGCATCCCGTGGTGAATGTGAGCCCCCTGACCCCCACCTTCAATGTGACCTCGCCAATAATCCAGCACGCGGGGGTGCCATACCCTCCCATCCATTATGCGCAGATCCCTCCGACGTCCTTGCAGTTCATCGGCTCGCACTACACGGTGCCCTATGCTGTCCCTCCTGGCTTCCTGCCTAGTCCTCTCCTGTCTCCTTCTAGCAACCTCACCGCCTCTCACGTCCCCCACTTTGTGCCATATGCCTCTCTCTTCACCGAAGAAGCTGCTCCTTCCCCCCAGACTACCTCTCCTACCCACAGCTTCAACAAATCTGCTTCTGCAGTCTCTCCTGGCCAGATGCAGCACCATGCTGGGACCCAGCCACTAGATACTGCACCAGGTAGGATTCCTGTTTATTATCAGATGTCTCGCCTCCCACCTGGGTATTCAGGATATGAGACACCTGCAGCAGGTGGAAACCCAGATTCTTCTCAGCAAGACAGTCAGCTGAGTTCAGAGGTAGCTGCCGCCAATGGTGAACAGAGACATCTGGAGCACAATGTGGTGAGGAGGACCAGCGAGGCTGTGGACTCTGCCAGCAGTAAAGCTGAAGACTGTCTGCCAGGGTCTGCAGCGAGATGTGTGGTTGATGGACAGTTTCTTTCAGGTTACCAGACGTTCAGAACAGAGGTTTCTGTGCCAGCACATAGAAGCACGCCAGACGCTGATCTGGAGGTTCAGAGGGTGGTGGGAGTGTTGACCTCTCAGGATTATCATGTTCTGGCAGCCCAGAGGAAAGATGACCTGAGCCCTTTAAACCTTTGCCATAATATCCCTGATCAGCAGGGGGAGTCGAAGGACATTTTGAGGAACACAGTGGAAAGGGGTGCTGCTGAGAAGAGCCAGTGCAGGAGTCCATACGTTGTGTCCCCTGAAGAGACGGTTAGACAAAGACAGTTAACCAAAGGAATGGTGATAGCTAACGGCAAGCCACTCCTGGTTCCAGCTGGCTCTGAGCCCATCAGGTCTTCCATTTCAGAAGCCCTGGTGAGGCAGAGCCCAATTGTACAGGCTCAAGGAGGCATGCTTGAAAAGGACCTGGCCCAGTTGCAGCCATCTGGCTCCTCTCGCTTGCCTTCTCACTTCATGAAAGGAGCCATCATCCAGCTGGCTACTGGAGAGCTGAAGCGGGTGGAGGACTTGCAGACTCAAGACTTTGTTCGCAGCGCAGAGGTGAGCGGAGGCCTGAAGATTGACTCGAGCACTGTGGTGGATATTCAGGACAGCCAGTGGCCTGGGCTTGTCACATTGCATTTTGTGGTTGGGGAGCAACAAAGTAAAGTAAGCATTGATGTGCCCCCAGAGCATCCCTTCTTTGTGTATGGCCAAGGCTGGTCCTCCTGTAGCCCGGGGCGGACTGCTCAGCTCTTTGCTTTGACCTGTCACAGACTGCAGGTGGGTGATGTCTGCATATCGATCAGTTTACAGAGCATAAATGGCAACTCTGCTTCTCAGGCTAACTACCCTTTCACAGATCAGTTGATATCTACTAGTGAGAGATCTGAAATAACTGCTCAGGGGTCCAGAGAACCATCTGACAGAGCTGCTGAAAGGAAGACGCAGGCAGAAAGGGAAAATGCAGCTCAGAGCTCTAGCGAAGAACCTTCTCAGCCTGAGACTGGCAGTCAGCACAGCTGGACAGCCCCTGGCTTCCAAAGATACAGCGTGCAGGCAGAGGAGCCGCGTCACTCTCTGCTCCGTCCCTCTTTCATTCCCCAGGAGGTCAAGCTGTCTATCGAAGGGCGTTCTAATGCAGGGAAATGATCCCTTTATGGTTGTGAGCTAGAGCATCCCCTGTGGGTGAGCCTTGCCTACATCGGGTGGAGAAATTGCACAGACTTTGTGACAGGTTCACCAGCAAGACTGCTTTCTGCCCCGCAGGACTGGATTTATTCCGGTTCAGTGGCTGACCAGTTCCTCTTGGAGAGTACGGGGGGGCTCCAGTGCCTCAGGAAGCAGCAACAGGCCAGCTGGGGTAGAGAACAGGGATGTGCTCATGAGCTTGCAATGAGAGCATCCAGAGGCTGGGCTTTCTTGCACCTCTCTGAATAACTGATTCCCTGCAGGGCAGGGTCTAAGCATTCAGGGAAGGTAGAGAGATGGGAAAGGCAGACATGGCTTAAGGTAGCAGATAAAATTGCTGAAGATTTTATTCCTCCTTTCTCTTGATGGGGAGAGATGGGTCTCCTTTGGAGTTTAGGGGGCTCTACTCCCACTATCCCCTTTCTTCACACATGCACTTTAAAAGGACCGTTCACCAATGGAGCTCTTGAGGGCAGGACACAGATGCTTCTCTGATGGTTCTGTTTAACGTCTCTTCCACTGAATCCAACTGCTCTTTTTGCAAAGAATGTACAGAGATTTTCCACGAATCACAGAAATCAAGAGGAAGGACCAAAAGGATAGATTTGGGTGCAGGTGGATAGAGAACATGAGCACTTGAGATGGGACACAGAATGGGAGACTTCAGTTTCCTGATATGGAATATTTTTATTGTCACCAAAATTATTTAAGTATTTCTCACCAAATCTAATCTTCCTTCCTGTGTTAATAACCTTAAAAACAAAAACCTCTTGGGTGTAAGGCTTTTGTGCTTAGTCTACAGGTGAATGGGGTTAGGTTTTTTTTATGTTGTTCTTGTTTTTGGAAAGCTAGAGTAAAACATTTAGCATTCTCTAATGAAAATGAAAATGCATCCTTCTACTGTAAGAAGACCGAGACCATTGTGTGATTAAATCAGAAGCAGAACTTTACAGATGGCTAGTTCTTCCCTGCAGGCAGTCTTCTGAATAAACTGTAGACAACGGACAAGTGTTTCTGCATGTGCAGGCAAAGTACAGATCTGTTAGGGACTCTAAAAATACCACCGCGTCGTAAGGCGTATTTGGGTGTTTTTCTGTTTGTTGTTCTGATGCTGTGGAACTCAGAACAGTCTTTTTCACAGTGAGATTTAACGGAAGTGTTTATTAATACTTTGTCACGGTAATGACACTCCGTTCAGGTGAAGGCTCCTGTAATTACACTAATTTAACCTCTCTGGTGCTGTGATATGACACCGGCTGTAACTGCTTACATAGAATTAGAAAGTCACTATTTTGTTGAGAATAAGTCTTCACCGGCTTAGCTTGG